TCTCTCACACAACCCACCCCAGTACCTACCATCAGTACAAATCTCCTAGTAACCATTAACAGTACCTACCATCATCACACAACCCTCAGTACCTACCATCATCACACAACCCTCAGTACCTACCATCATCACACAACCCTCAGTACCTACCATCATCACACAACCCTCAGTACCTACCATCATCACACAACCCTCGGTACCTACCATCATCACACAACCCTCAGTACCTACCATCATCACACAACCCTCAGTACCTACCATCATTACACAACCCTCAGTACCTACCATCATTACACAACCCTCAGTACCTACCATCATCACTCAACCCTCAGTACCTACCATCATTACACAACACTCAGTACCTACCATCATCACTCAACCCTCAGTACCTACTATCATTATTAAAAAAAACAATACCTACCATCATCACACAACCCTTAGTACCTACCATCATTATACAACCCACAGTACCTAATATCATCTCACAACCAATGTTCCCTTTAAGCTGCGGGGCTACCCGGCCGCGCAGTAATCTCACAGACGCCGCGCAGTAATCTCACAGACGCCGCGCAGTAATCTCACAGACGCCGCGCAGTAATCTCACAGACGCCGCGCAGTAATCTCACAGACGCCGCGCAGCAGTTTTGAGTACGCGCAGCTAATTTCCACTTAAGGGTGTGTTTGTGTCTGTAGGCTGTACAATGTGCGCACAAAAAAATTGATGCTGTACAAATTTGCACACAACTTTATGATTTTGCACACGAACCAACAAACCTTAGAGGGAACATTGCCCACAACCCCCAGTACCTACCATCATCACTCAACCCTCAGTACCTACCATCATTACACAACCCTCATTACCTACCATCATCACTCAACCCTCAGTACCTACCATCATCACCCATCCTCAATACCTACCATCATCACCCATCCCCAAGTACCTACCATCATCACCCATCCCCCAGTACCTACCATCATCACCCATCCCCAAGTACCTACCATCATCACCCATCCCCCAGTACCTACCATCATCACACTTGCCACAGGCCTGCCTGCAGTTGTTGATCATCCATGTTGGGTTGTTTTCACACTCTCCTGTCTTGGCCCACTTCTCACAGTTGTCATTGGTATTCTCACAGGTCACTGAAAGCGATAAAATCTCATGTTACAAATGTCTTTGTGATATTAACTAGTTATCATGTATCATTAATTTTATAATCTCACGTTGGAGATAGACTCATGTCAGGTGGGGTTTGATCCATGACAAACGGGGTATAGATATTAGTCATGTGAGGTATTGATCCATTTTTGGTAGGGCATTGATTCTTGTGAGCTGGAATATTGATCCATGTCAGATTAAGTATTGATCCATTTTAGTTGGAGTACTGATCCATGAGATGTTTCTCATAAAGTCACAGACCGGGGCCCCCATGAGATGTTTTCCACAAGTCACAGACCGGGGCCCCCAATGAGATGTTTTCCATAAGCTATAGACCGGGGCCAAAATGAGATATTTTCCATAAGCCATAGACCGGGGCCCCCATTATGAGTTTCATAAATATTTACATTCCAAAGACCCCATGTAGTCAATACTGTGTATCCAAAAGATGAACACCTCTTAGTGCCTCCCAATTTATCACAGACCAGAACCGCTAAAAAGTATGTGATCGGGAATTTCCAAATTTCTTTATAACAACATTAAATTATAAGGTCAAGATGGCCGCTTTTGTGAAAGTCCTGAAAGGATACGACGTCACGCACCACCGCCTCACACCCTCACACGCCTGTGATAACCCGGTGTGTTTATTCCTTAGGCTTGCCCCTGGTGTAGTCCAGGCAGGCTGTAACAACACGACATTGATCTTTGCTGAGAAGAGAACGCCGTCCAACACAGGGGTTCTCAAAGAGGACTGCTCAGAGGCGGTAAAATGTTCCGTAGTTAAGATTAGGGTAGCGGTAGGATTACCTTACCTAAAAAAAAAAGGGGTGGGGGGGCATTTTTTTATTGTCTATTCCTGAACATCATTGCAATGCTTGGATTGAGATGTCTATTCCTGAACATCATTGCAATGCTTGGATTGAGATGTCTATTCCTGAACATCATTGCAATGCTTGGATTGAGATGTCTATTCCTGAACATCATTGCAATGCTTGGATTGAGATGTCTATTCCTGAACATCATTGCAATGCTTGGATTGAGATGTCTATTCATGAACATCATTGCAATGCTTGGATTGAGATGTCTATTCCTGAATATCATTGCAAAGCTTGGATTGAGATGTCTATTCCTGAACATCATTGTAATGCTTGGATTGAGATGTCTATTGCACAAAGATTATTTAAAGGATACCAAAGCAGAGAGCGCGTGGTCGTGGTGGGATTGTGGTTTCAATTTGAATTTTATGGAGAGCTTGTTCGGCGGAGAGAACAAAATTGTCACTTGTTTTTCACATCAAAATATCTAATACTGGGCCTTTTTTTTTCTCTTAAAGAAAAGAAAACTGTGATAAATTAAAACAAAAAAAAAAGCTGCCTCTTTTAAGACGCTGATTTCTGTCTCAAATGTGCTACTCTTGATTCTGTCTCAAATGTGCTACTCTTGATTCTGACTAAAAAGTAGACTTAATTATGGATTGAAAATAGTGCAGCCATGAAATATCATTTCGTAGCGCCTGGTGATTGACGTAGTTATAAACTGGGACGGTTATACCATTTGACGTCACGTCAGTTCAACCCGTTAGTTGTTGTTGTTGGTGTGTTGTTGTTTTTTACATATAATGTCACACTTAAGTGATGTTGATTATGCATAGAACTCCACACTTTTTACGCAGTCATTTCATTAAAACTTTGTTGTTATATAAATATTAAATAACGTTCAAAAGAAAAGACAAAAAGAAATTTGAGAACCACTGGTCTAACACAAAACTCAGAGAGCGACCCAAGTATAATGTGGGCCGAAATTCGAAATTCCCGGAATAATCAGTGCTGGTGGCTGTGTTTTAGTTAAACGAAACATGGTCCCGTTTTTTTTAAGTGGTACCCCATCTTATAGAAGCCAAGTTGCCCCTCCTCCACCACAACTAGCCGATGCATTTAAAAAAAAAAAAAAAAAAAAAAGCTTTTTAATAGGGCATAAATAAAATCTCATCCAATATGGATTTTTTTTTTTGTTAAATGACAACCTGATATACCAATAGAACTGTAGTAACGTATGACCTAGCTAAACCGATGATTGACATTGTAAAGCATTACTGATAAGCTTCAATATTCACGTTTTGAGTTTTCGTCTAAGTCAGCGCTGACCTCATTTCATCCTCAATGTTTAATCCGTTGTTTTGTGTGCTAGCTTAGATTTGTTTTCATGCGGTCCGCTCTGTTCTCACGAGACGTGCTGAACTTAAATCCAACGGGAAGCTTTCTAGTATTCTCACTTTGTCATTTTTGTTGTTAGGTAGTTTGTTTTTTTTTTCCTTCTTTTTTAATGGGGTATATAAATATTATTTTTCTCGACTTTTCAACTGGCGACCCAACAGTAAACCCTTAGTGACCCCATGGGGGGGGGGGGGGGGGGGGGGGGGGGGGTGGGTGTGACGGTCCCGGGTAATAGAGGGTTTAAATCCCCATAATTTTACTATTATAAAGAGTTCCTTATAAAAGTGATGTTTTTGTTACTGGGATTGGGAGTTTTTTTTTTTTTTTTTTTTTTTTTTTTTTTGCCATAATAGGCATAGGGCCTTTTTTTTGTTTTTTTTTAATATATATTTCAAAAGCCTTTCGCCTAATTCCATTTTTTATGAATTAATGTATCCAACATTGCCAATGGTTATTTGATCAAATTTATCAAAATTCAGACGGGCAAGGCCTCCACGTAAAATATGTTAACTGTTTCATAACAACTCAGTTTACAGCAGGTAAGAAAACGGAAACCTCAGGTTGAGAATCCGTGCTCGGATTAAGTGTGTTTATACATTGACATTTTAACGTGCGCCACGAACACTCGGGGATTCTCATTGCGACAAAGAAAGATGTCCCTGCTATTATAAATCCACTGTTAGTGGATGAGAACATTATAAGGACTCCAACTAAAATCTAAGCACTCCACAAGTACAGGTATACCCAAGAAGACCTAAACAAAAAAAAATGAGGTATTGAAGTCAATCTAAAAGACGTTGTAATTGGCTTTACAGCGCATGGGAACCTTTATCTCGACAATTGTATGCGAATGAAGTTTTGTATTACCCTTACCTCTTAGCATAACGTTAGCAGCGCTAGATAACCGAAGCGAAATAAGAATCGAGGTCAACTACCGACTACGTGACGCATTAAAAGGACGCGGCTCTCAACGTCGTACGAACAGTACCCTACACTATTTGATTTGAAATCCTCGTCAACATTTACGCTCACAATTAAAATTAAAGTTGTCCTTAGTAAAATTCGTAAGAATTCTCCAACTGCCAACAGCACCTAAACCTATTATCAAGTTTAGTTGTATTCGTAAAGTGTCCATAAACTCAGATTTAGAACCACCATGCTTAAAACGTGTACAAGTGTGGAAGGGAACAAACTGGCTTGTCCTATTTTTACCACAGTTTAGATCGTCGCATTCATGATCATTTCCCAGCTCCGAAGGAACCCGTGTTATATAAGGGGCAAGGGGATAATGATGGAGTACGGTGTTCACTTTGTGTATTTGTGTGGTAGAGTTGTCATCCACATCAGATGTTCACATGTGTGTAAATGTGGAGATATTATCAACAGAACCAAGGACTGGACATGATACGTTGAGTTGGTGATTTACTGTGTGTCTCAATCGATGAGTTGGTTTTGTCAGTCTACCAACCAGGGACATCAATGTGTTGGTGATGTGAGTCTACCAACAAGGGACATCAATGTGTTGGTGATGTGAGTCTACCAGCCAGGGACATCAATGTGTTGGTGATGTGAGTCTACCAGCCAGGGACATCAATGTGTTGGTGATGTGAGTCTACCAGCCAGGGACATCAATGTGTTGGTGATGTTAGTCTACTAGCAAGTGACATCAATGTGTCGGTGATGTGAGTCTACTAGCAAGAGACATCAATGTGTTGGTGATGTGATCTACCAGCCAGGAACATCAATGTGTTGGTGTGAGTCTACCAGCCAGCGACATTAATGTGTTGTTGATGTGATCTACCAGGCAGGGACATCAATGTGTTGGTGATGTGATCTACCAGCCAGGGACATCAATGTGTTGATGTGAGTCTACCAGCCAGCGACATCAATGTGTTGTTGATGTGATCTACCAGCCAGGGATATCAACGTGTTGGTGGTGTGATCTGCCAGCCAGGGACATCAATGTGTTGGTGTGAGTCTACCAGCCAGCGACATTAATGTGTTGTTGATGTGATCTGCCAGCCAGGGGACATCAACGTTCAACGACTGTCAACGTGTTGGCGTTGGTGATGTGAGTCTACCAGATACTAACAACAGATTTAGTCCGGTTACGAAAATGTAGGAAAGAAGATTTAATTCGTCTTCAGTTGCTTCAATACGTGAATGAATTTTTGTAATGTGGCTTTTACAAGTTTCACATACATATCAATCGATTGTCTTTTATTTCTGTGCTCAACAATACATCATTTAAATATCAGGAAACAAGGAGTGCAAGGGACGTAACAATATTAACACCCAAACCCAAGATGTGGAAATTAGGAGTGACTTCCCTTTAAAAAAATTATTTAATGTACAAAATCGTAGTTGACTAAAATAATATGGGGAAGCTAATCTTAGTTTTTTTCTTTAGTGAATTTTATAGTTATCTTCCCATGATTGAAGTTAAAAGCAAACCGTTCCAACTCAAAATGGCTGACTAGAAAACAAAAGAATAGGCGAATCTAATAGGTTTTAATAAGAATTACAAGTATAAAATCTGAAAAACTTCAAATTTTTTGAAACAACGTATGGATTAACAATGTCTGCACATCGAAGTCTAGGACAATGTATAACTCTGAGAGAGAATAGTATTAATAAGTCACTGGCTCGTTTGGAAGAAGAAACCCGAGGCCGAGACAATGATGTTGATGTCCACTCACTTACCACTGACCAACATCTCCTGACTTATGGAAACCAAGAAACAATACCAGATCATATTTCAACTCATGACACAGAAATCCATGAATCTATGCAAGGTTCTCATGCTGTGATGCCAGACAAAACATGTAAGAACCAGTCCACTAAAAGAAAACGACCAATTAGTGATTATGCTCCTGTCTCTTCCCATTCCAAGTTGAGTGATTCCAAGGTTTCTTATTTTGATGATCACATGAGAGGTTTAACTTTCCCGGTTCCTCAAGCATATCTTTCATGTCAAACACTTGACAGTACTAGAAAATCAGTGCAAGCCCAGGCATCCGACGCTTCTGGTTGCAGTGACACAGACCTGAGACTGAGTGCACCAGCCCTTCTCAACAAGTCTTCTGACTTTGTTTATCCTAACTTCTACACCCAAGACCAAAGACATGAAAGCTTCAAGGACAGTGAATATAATCCAGATATCTGGCCCCAAATGGCTCAAGCAGGACTTTTTTGTGATGGTAAGTCTCTCATATAGAATACTGAATATTAATAGAGCAAGCGGTCATCAACCTTTAGGCCTGCACAACATATGGCCCATGGGCTGGAATGTAACAAATATTCTTTATTATTATTATTTTCTTAATAGCTTTCTCCCTGTCCTATTTTCTTTAAGCCAGCACAAGTATCTAGTGAAATGTTTCTGATACAGTTGCAGTAATTTGATATCCATGAGAATGAGAGGTCAATTTCTTAGATTGTAAAAGACAGTGTCAGTAGTGTACCCAGGGACTTTTTATAGGGGGGTGCAGAGATTTGTGACACTATTTTTCAGAGGGTAGGGGGTCTAAATTTTTGTGATGATGGGAAGAGTTGAAAGGGGGGTGGTGGATATTTAAAAATCAGCAAAATTTGTGTTACGTCATTTATGGATGGCCCCTAAGCAGCTCCAGGGGAATGTGTTATGCAGTTTTTCACATTTATCTCATTCAAATGTTTTTAGGACTTATTTAGGCTTCAACCATCAAAAAGAATTTTTAAATTCTGCAAGTGCTAGACACATTTATTCTAAGTATTAAAAAATATTACACTTATAAATTATGCAAATCAGGATATCTCATTTGCATAAATTTTAAGATTTCAGTTTGATTCATAAATATCTATTTGTTCATTCATTTCCCTGCAAGAATATATAGTTTTATTTTTGTTAATTAATTGGTTTATTTTTGGGCATGACCTGAGAAATCTTAGTAATTTTTTAATTTTTTCTTTTAGCAGTTTGGTAGTAATAAAACTTTAATTTTGTGATTTAACTTGTAAAAAATATGATAGAAATATCAATAAATATTAATTAAGAGTATTAGTGTATGCAAACTTTATCATTATTACCGGAGACAGTCATTGTGTTCTATATTTTAATTTTTAGCATTATGAGTGAGTGTCATTGTGGTATGTGCATACAATATCAGTAATATATGTGAGTGGCTTTGTGGTGTGTGAATACATTATTGGTACCGGTGGTAATATATGAGAGTCATCGTCTGGTGTGTGCACACATTAAGGGGCAATATATGAGTGTCATTGTGTGATGTGGGCAAACATTAAGGACACTATATGAGTGTCATTGTGTGGTGTGGGCAAACATTACTGGTGTTGATTCAAGTTTGCTTTTTTGCTTTCAGGAGGATATCTTAAATGTTTTGTTTGTGGAGGAGTGATGGAAACCACCAACAGTTTGGAATGCTGTTTGACCTTTAACCCCAAAAACAACAAATTTTAAAAACCATTAAATTCTCTCTGCTCATATTAAGTTTGTGATGGATAATTCTTCCCTGCTGAAACTGTGTTGCCTGTTTTTTTTGTTAGTTTTTTTTTTTATAGTGAGGGGGTGTGGGGGGGGGGGGGGGGGGTTAATTTAAAGTGCTTAATTATGTCTAGCTAATATATATGTACAAGCAATATGATACTGCAGATGGTGCCCCTGTTTGCAGCACATCAAACTGCTCAATTATTAATAGGTTTGACTGCTATAATAATTATCTCCATTTTGGGGAAAACCTTTTAAGTTTTTATTTGCACTAACTTTTGAATTCAATGATAATATTTTCTTTGATGAATAGCCATTCAATTAATTGTGTTTTAATGATGTATCATTGGTGTGTCCTGGTGGTCCAGTTCTACAAATGTACCCAATATTATTTTTTTTTTTAAAGCTCTTCTTACAAAATAGGAACTGTTCATGAATATAAAAAGTAAGAGAGCTACACTTATGATGAAACTCAAATAATCAATGAAATTTTAAGTCTACATCTGCGCACAACTTTCTAGCTTTTTAGAAACAATGAAAGGCAGCTGAGAAAGTTTACATATCTCAGTGGCCATTGTTACTTCGTGAGGATTTGTGTTCATGGAGAATATGTGTTGTATAGTAGAGACCGACCGAAAGTGATTTTCTGATTTCGTCCGAAACCGAAAATAGGCCGAAAGTTTAAATGACTTTCGGCCGAATCCGAAAAAATGCTGAAAGTTTAAAAATGACTTTCGGCCAAAACCGAAAAAAAGGCAGAATGTTAAAAATGAATTTTAACCGAAACCAAAAATGAAATATTAAGATATTTTGAAATTTGTTCCCGCATAGATTCTGCATACATCGAAAATGATGTGGGAAAGTATAAATATTTACATTCTTATTATAAAAAATGAGATAATCGTGAATATTAATAAATAAACATCTAATATAGGGGTCTCAAACTCGCGGCCCGCGAGCCATTTGTGACCCGCAAGACGACAGAAAAGTTTAGTGTAAATACGCCCGGCCCGTTTCCCCCATTCTCATATCTATAACGTGACTCTCCGCGACAGTTTCAGTAGAATCTCACCGACTAAATCCTGATTTAAAAAAAAAAAAATTTCTATATATTGGCAACAGTGAGTAATTCTTGAGAACCTTTAATGATTTTATTGTTATTTATAAAGGTTTAGCAGATTGTAACAGTTGTAATCGTTTTTTTGTGGATTACTTGATGCGGCCCACTCTCATTCAGACACTACCTCCTGCCCCCCCCCCCCCCCCCCCCCCCCATTATTTTAATTTTAGGCCCTTTATCTGATGAATAATTTGGATTTAACCATTTTAATATAAAAGTTATTTAAATTGCTTAACAATTTTTTTTTTAAATTAGTATGGTAGGAGAAAATTGTGCAAAAATTGGGGGGGGGGGAATTTAATGCAAAATATTAATTTTTTTAAACAGGGTCTCTAAAAAATGTGGTTCTAAAAGATTGCGTAATTTGTTTTTAAAGATCGTTTAGTTGGTTGTTATTGATCGGTTAGTTTGTTCATAAAGATTGCTTAGTTTTTGTTAAAGATTGTTTAGTTTGTTGTTACAGATCGTTTAGTTTGTTGTTAAAGATCGTTTAGTTTGTTGCTAAAGATGGCTTAGTTTGTTGTTGAATATCTTTTAGTTTGCTCATAAAGATCGCTTAGTTTGTTGTTAAAGATCGCTTAGTTTGTTGTAAAGATCGATTAGTTTTTTCATAAAGATCACTTAGTTTGTTTTTGAAGATTGCTTAGTTTGTTTTTGAAGATCTTTTAGTTTGTTCATAAAGAGCGCTTAGTTTGTTGTTAAAGATCGCTTAGTTTGTTCTTAAAGATCGCTTAGTTGTTCTCGAAGATCTTTTATTTTGTTCATAAAGATCGCTTAGTTTGTTGTTAAAGATCGCTTAGTTTGTTGTAAAGATCGCTTTGTTTTTTCATAAAGATCGCTTAGTTTGTTCTTAAAGATAATTAATTTTGTTCCTTAAGATCGATTAGTTTGTTCTTAAAGATCGTTTAGTTTGTTCCTAAAGAACATTTAGTTTTCTGTTAAAGATCGCTTAGTTTATTCTTATAAATCATTTAGTTTACTATTAAAGATCATTTGTTTTGTTCTTAAAGATCAATTAGTTCGGTCTTAATAATCGTTTAGTTTGTTCTATTATATCGTTTAGTTTGTTATTAAATGTCCCTTAGTTTGTTGTTAAATATCGTTTAGTTTTTTCTCAAAGATCTCTTAATTTGTTCTTGAATGTCGCTTAGTTTGTTGTTAAATATCGCTTTCGCTGAGTATTAAAATGACCGAAAACCTGAGTCACTTTCGGTGGCATGGCCGAAAGTCTAAGTCAATTTCAGCCGAAACCGAAGAAAAACCGAAAATTAACTTTTCTCTTTCGGCCGAAACTGAAATAAGCCAAAAGTTAACTTTTCAGTTTCGGGGCAAACCGAAACTTGGCCGAAAGTGATAAAATGGCCACTTTCAGCGCCGAAACCGAAGCTGAAATTCGGTCGGTCTCTATTGTATAGTTTAAATTATGGACACTTGCAGCAGGGGGGTGGCTCTCATGGGATGGTGGAGCTGTAAGGGTATTTTTCTATGAACTTTCATAGAGCAAGAAATTTTGTGAAATCCTTCAATTAAAATGTTTGTTTTTTTTACTTTTAATAATTCTACCTCTTCCTCCTCATTTCCATAGCTGTTCTACATTTTTATCTTTCATAGTGGGCTTAAAATGATAAAATTAGAGGATCATATTCACAAGAAAATAACTTACATTTGTGTTGGGGGCACTATTAGTATGTTACTTGTGTAAAACAGGGTATGACAAATTTATGTATTTAAATCCACTAGCATGGGGAGGGGTAGGTCCAATCCCTCCAAAGCAGTATTTTTTTCCTAAAAATTGTGGGAGGATATTTTTGGCCAAATGTAGAATGATTGGGGGGGGGGGGGGGGGCAGCATCTTTAATCAATAGTGTTAAATTTTTTGAAATAATTTTAATCTGTTTCATTGTGTAGTTTTAAATGAGGAAACATAATCTAAGCATGTGATATCTTATTATTTAGATTATTGGATCATGTGACATCTTAAATTATAGTATTTAATTGTGTGATGCATTCAAGACTTTTTATGTCACAAAATATGATTGTAGCAAACCAAAGAAGCCAGTTTGGCACATGACACTATGTTTGTTTTTGTATCATAATCATGTTGATTTTCCCAAATTGAATGTAATTTGTCATTTTAAAAAACTATTTACAGAATAAATGTCTATAAACTGATATTATTACTACTTTTTTTTTCATATTTTAATAAAATTATTCTCTTATCTTACATTCTGACCTAGTCCCATCAAACCCATCACCACCACCAAACCAATCAACCCCCCCCCCCCCCCCCTCCGAACCATCGTCAATGTCTTCTTCCTTCTCCAAACACATGGCGCACGACTTTCTGCAGTTGTTGAACATCCATTTGGCATTGACCTTGCACTCACCATCCTTGGCCCAGTCGTCACATTTCTGCTCTTCTTTGTACGAGTTCTGGCAGTTCACTTTTTGTGGGAGAGAGAGAGAGAGTAGGAGTTAAAATGTTGAAGGAATCTAACTTGGCTACTGAGTGTTCCCACTGTCAACAATAATAAAGCAATTCATACTGTACTTGGTAAATTAATCAGATCTTAATTTGATAAACTGCATATTTATCATATATTCTCAGTGGACAACAGCAAGTACTGTTTTATATTAAAAAAATATAAACTGAGCTGGAATTATTAGTTTATAAGTAGATTTCAATTCAAGTTCAGTAGAGAAGTTTCTTTCCTTTCATACTTATATAATGGTTTTAAACTGTTTTATCTCTTCTTTATTGTTCAATTCAACTAGAATAGTAAAGAAATAATTTCCATGTATCTTACAATTTTATTTTATTTTCGTTTACTTTTCTTATTTAAGAAAGATTTTTTTAAAACTCAAATGAAATACCGTAAGTAAAAATAAAGCATCAGCCCTCACCCCTTCTTGTGATAGAACCCGCAGACAAAATTTTAGTCAGAATATCCATTTTAAACGCTACTTCCATCCCACCAACAAACAACCTGGTGTTTGGCTTAGCTCACACTTCTCACAAACACAACAATCTATCTTGAAAAGTTCATTAAGCATCAATGCTCATCTTTCTCAATTTCTACACTGGAATGCAATTAAGCAACTGGTCAGGCAATAGATTTTATTTTTATAAAAATTTAGTAAGATTAAAAATTGTCTCACACACATAAGAATATACAAACATTGAAACTTATTTTGCAACCTTCCCACACTAACTACTTACCTTCCTACCAAGTACAAATGCTCCAACCAACTCTAAACATTCCTACATAACTCCCGTTCCTACCATCCCCAACAAACTGATCAAATCCACCTTTTGCCTCCACTTCACAGTCTTGTTTTAATTGTCTATAGCATAGATAAAAAAGCTTTCATCTTCCACTACTTACAGAGAGGAATATATCTTCCCCCTTACTCCCCATATTCAGACAAAATCTTTTTCTATAAAACCAAGATGGTCTGAACTGAGCGCTAACCTTCAGGCCTAGTGGCTGAATCCCCACACAACCCACATGTGGACCTGCAGTTGGCCTTCATCCAGCCAACATTGGTAGAGCAATCTCCCCTCTGCTTCCACACAGCACACTTGACACTAGAGAACTCATCTTTGCACCCACCTGTTTGTGTGCAGGAATAATTTGTACTTATTAGTAGTTGATCTCATCATAACACAAAGAAAGATGATTGTTAGGATGCCAAGGTGGGGGAGGAGGCACATTAGACAATGTAAATTGTAATATAAGATCCCAAAAGTGATAACTACACTGTATGGTAATAATGGTATTTGACCAAATTAATTTCTTTTGTGTCCTGTCACTGTCTGTCATAAAATGTGTTACATTTACATTTACATAACATAACAAAGTCATACATCTTTTGTTCTTTTAATCTTTTAATTATTAGTATTAGGCTTATAACTATAGCTATAC